ACTATATATATATATTTATGTATATAGACATTGCTGATTGCAATCAGGTTCTTATTGCCCAACAAACTTTACTATTGCACACATGTATAATGCAATCTCGGTTTAATTGAAAGATCACGTGTTTGCCTTTTTATTATTATTATTATTATTTTGCCCTTTACACCTATCTAAGAGGAAAAAAAAAGGAGTGACACTTCACCATACTCCACAAATTGCTGCCTTTGGTTTAGTCACATTGAGCAAAAATAATACATCATGCTTATCATATGTGTGCATCACTAATATTATATAGATTAGTGGATTACATCGCAGCAAATTAACAAAGGCTCCGGTTAGTGATCTATTTTTTTGTCTCTCCTAATTTTTTTTTTTTAATATTGGTTTGATAGAGGAAAACGGTTGCAGTGACGGTTTTATGTGAGACTTTTTTCTAATTTGTTTTTGGTATGCGGTTTGGAAGCAAAATTAATTGTTGGTCAAATGGTTCATAAACATGATTTCAAGAAATTTTCATGCTTTTGGGTTGTTTGGCGAAGTGCCATTGACAAAGTATGGTGGTTGTGGTTTGTTTGATTTGTTCATCCTAATTCTTGACCTTCTGAAGGAAATTTAACCGTAACACACAACAATTAATGTAAAAAAAAAAAAAAAAATACAATTACCATGCATGTTTAATAAATAAGCAAGACGGGAGAAATTTCAATGGAGGGTCTATAATTCAAATGCTTACCAAAGTTAGGTAATTGTTTGAGTTGCAAATTTCAAAGGGTAACGCTCATAAACATTTAATATTGTTTCAAAATTAATCAACTTGTGAGCAAAGTTTCTCATATAATCAATAAGGTATTTTTGATAATAGCCAAGAAGATTATAAGCCATATTAAAGTATTATTATTTTTATCACAAGATAAGGTCGGAAACTTGCAACCTGCGGGTCTGTAAGAGGGTGGCATGACCATTACCTAACACAGCCTAAAAAAAAAGTGGTCTTTCCCCCTAACTACGCTACATGCATAAGTTCATTTAATAATAATAAAAAAAGCTACATGCATAAGAGTTTTCTTATTATTGCCATTAGATGAATATAATTAGGTGAGAGCCTGTTTTGAACACCTCTTTTACTAAGGTCCGTTCATTTTATCGATTTGAGTTTAAAATTTGAGTTTTGCTACAGTAAAAAGCTCTCACATAAAGTCACATCTCCACTCGAATTAAAAACTCGAATCAACGAACTAAACGGGCTCTAAATAGATTTTTTTTAAAAAAAAAAAGAAAAATGACCGTTGATCAATCATCTAATTGATGTAAGTACAATTATAATCAATAAATCATTAACTACTAAATCAATCAGTAATTGATCATTAAGTATTAACTGTATTTAAGAAACTAATTTTCTTAATTTACATTTTCAAAAAAAAAGTTTATTAATTTACTAAGTTGACAATTTATCAAAACAATGCTTTCAAAAAAGGCCATTTTCCCACATTTATTATGTATATATAAAAAAAACAGCTTCCTTGTGGTGCTATTTAGTGGGAGTTTGTGAGATCACCATTAAAGTTAATCATGCGATTTCTATTAATAGATAATAAAGAGTAGTTTATTTTTCTTGGTGTTGCAGTCCAGGTACTATTCACTTGATCTAAATGGAAACGGACTCCTCTTCTTGTTTAATAATGTTAAACAAATAATGACACGTAGGCCTAGTTTACTTTGCAGATTTGAGTTTTCAATTCGAGCTGAAATATGATATTTTTTGAGAATTTTTAACTATAGCAGAAAAAGTTAGATGTGACATTTTTTGAGAACTTTTAACTATAAAAATCTAAAACTGAAAACTCGAATTGATGAAATGAACGGGGCCTAGTGATTCATGCACATATCGAAAGCTTAATTAGACTGTTTTTGGTATTCCCTTTAGTTATGGAGGGAACTAGGAGTGTTAAAACAATCTGTCAAACTACGAAAATTGTCTAGTTTAAATCAAACCGAACTAAATCGTTAATTATTTTTAGATTATTCAATAGTTTGATCAGTTTTTTAACATAATTTTTTGAACCTGTTTAGTTTGTGGTCTGGACTCCCTAAATTGCTCAATAATCTGTCTAAAAGTATACATATATAATTTTTTTTAATTTTTAATATATTTTTTATATTTATTTTAATTTTTATTGATCATAATAAAGGTTCTACACTTATAAAATACACACTACCATATCTTTATTGGTTTGTATTAAAGCTTTAAATAATGAACTATTAGACATCTGCTATTTTTGAGTTATAATGTAAAATTGAATCTTATTTTTATTTTTATTGGTTAACAATTTTATAATTCTTATAAATTATTAAAAACCTTTTTAGTATTAAGTTTAAACCGCCTAAATTAAACCGTGTAAATTGCTTATAAATGATTTAGTTTAATTTAATTTTTGTTAAAAATATCAAACAATCCAAACCGGTAAAAAGAAAAAATTATTTTTAATTTAGTTAGTGTTTAAAAAAAAAAGGCCCAAACCGACTGTCAACGTCCATAAAAGAAAATTTGACATATTCTCTTTTAGTTGTTTTCAACTTTCGACATCAATCATTGCATTTGGCCATAAACAAAAGGAAATAAAAATATTATTACAAAATTATATTTGCATCTCTTACATTTCCATTTCATATAAAAATCTTTTATTGACTTAATAGATTATGATATCAATTTTCCAATTTTCCAATTTTCACGCTGGCTACGTAATCAGAGAATGTGTTTCTAATAAACAAACGTTTTTTCAGTTTTTCTGTTTTATTCTTAATTTTTATGGGATCAAAATCTATCAATATTCGATTTTTCTGATAGTTTTTTAACTTACCATTACTATTTTTTAGGTGAACCCTATTATTGCTATTTACTGTTTTTTTTTTTAAAAAAAAAAAAAATTCTCCAAAGGGAGCAATCAATTCACTTCCGAAAGACCTTATTGTAATTATCAAAAAAAAAAAAAAAAAAAAAACTTATTGTTGACAAGGTCGTTCACATTTTCTAGATGACGAAAATGCCCATTGACTTTCCTTAGGTGACGACACAAACAATGGGGCCCACACACCTACTCCCCATTGACAAAATTGCCCTCCCGCCGTGCTGTCTTTCATGGGACGATAATTCATTTGCATTAGCCTAAAAAAAAAGGACACATTTCTTTGTAATAAGCTAATAGCTTAGGAACCTTCTTTTTGCTTTGTTTATCGCCGAAGTTCATTGGCAAAGAAAACGTGCATAATTTTGTATTTAAATTTTGGGTTATTAACACAAATGGTTCCGAGTAAGTGACAGTTTAATATCTTTTTTTTTTTTGATAAATTGACTTTAAGATATGCCCAAAAATTAACAGCTCAATGCAGGCGCAATTCATCTTCTCTTTCTCAGTGATAGTTTAGTCTCTATTTTTTTTGGTAAATCGACCTTAAGATCTGTTCAAAAGTTAACGGCCCAATGCAGGCCCAATTCATCTTCTCTCTCTCAGTGACAGTTTAGTCTCTATTTTTTCCGGTAAATCGCCCTCTCTCTCTCTCCCTCTCTCTCTCTCTCTCCCTCTCTCCCTCTCTCTCTCTCTCTCTCCATGGAGCCGCCATGAACGCCAAACCACCACCTTCACCACCTCACCCTTGAGCTCGCCATCACCATCACCACCATCAACTTTTAACCCATTTCCATTATCCAACCTTCTCTCCCAACCTTTTCCATCACTAAAAAACTCGCCAATCTCGTATTCAAGTCCACACAAACCGCAACACCAACACCAACACCAATCTCTCTCTCTCCTCCACCAAACAACCGATTTCTTAAGACCAAGCCCTCCTCTCTCTCCTCCGCTAGAGAAAGACCGAGGAAGTTTGGGTCACGTTCCAATCTCATATTCAAGTCCACACAAACCACAACACCAACACCAATCTCTCTCTCTCCTCCACCAAACAACCGATTTATCAAGACCAAGCCCTCCTCTCTCTCCTCCGCCAGAGAAAGACCAAGGAAGCCTGGGTGGGTGGTCACGTGCATTGGGTCATTAGCTTTTGAACGGATCTTGACGGAAAGGACCAGATTACACATGTTTTAAAAGGTTGGAGTCAATTTGTCAAAAAAAAAGATTAAAGACCAAACTGTCACTTACTAAATAAGTTGAGCACCATTTGTGTCAATAACTCTTAAATTTTTGATGAGAACAAGACTTGAACAAAATCCTTTGTCGTATATCACTTTGACACCCTAACCACCACTCATTGGACCCAATTTTTATTTTTATTTTTTATAATATGGTTAAAAAGTAAACGACATATAAAAATCAAGACCATTTGATATGCATACCTATAAGAAAATAAGACGATTGACCGACAGTCATGATCACATTGCATTTTAGGATAATGTATCCAATGGGCTATCCATGAAACATTCGGAGCTTAGATAACGTTCTAGACCTTAAACAAACAATATTGCAAACATAACAACCTTCTGTTTTACTAAAGAAGTTTAAAGAGAACATTTGTATTTCTCTTTTAACGAAATTACCCTTTGACTTGGGAGCCAAAGGAAAGGTCTCTTCCTACATGCTGTGTCAGTCACAGGGTGAGATAGCTGGATTCCTTTATTTGATTATTTTATTTGTTTTCTTTTGAGAAGAAAAATAAGTCAAAATAAAATAGCTACTTGGAAGAGTTCAATAACCGGCTTGGGGCACTAACCCAAAAAGCTATTTTCTCTTGGTTGTGCGTTCAAACAAGAAGTTTCAATGAAAAAAGATAAAAAAAAATTTCTATTGTATTTCTTTTTGTTCGGGGGATTTTTTCTTTCCCACCTTAAATGCAAAAAGTCAAGGAGGGTAGGGTTGTCATTTTCTCTTATAACCAAACATGTAGACTTGTAACAACGCGCTACCATCAATCCAAACACAAAATAATACGTAAGCGCCATAATACAAATAAACGAGTATGTAGGAACGCCATGCTATAAATGAGAGAAGCAAATGAATCATAAAATAAGTATAGAAAAAGACAATCATTTGGCTTGCTAGAAAAGGATTTGTATCCCTCTTTTCTTTTTGTCTTGCTTTGGAGGGTGGTTGGTAATTTTAAATATTATTTTAGGCCTTCATCTTCTAAAGTCTAAACCCTTTTGAAGCCATCAAAAACCAGTGCCAATTTGCTCATTTTCTCATAACACCCCATCTCAATTCCAGCCTGATTCTTTCATGCGTTAAAAATAATAGAGACAACCATTTTTGTTTCATAATGGCGGTCAAGAAAAGTACATGGAGATCTATGGTCACAAGCTGCTACAAGGCAGATTGCGCGCCGACGACAACGAAGCCAAAGAGAGTTGTGGCGAAACAAACGTCGTTTCAAAGGCTTTCTCTGTCGGACTTAAGTTTTCCGAGCTCAAATTTTTCGGAGGACCTCTCAATATCTCTTGCCGGTTCAAATCTTCACGTATTCACTCTCGCGGAGCTAAAAGTCATAACACAGAGTTTCTCCTCTAGTAATTTCCTCGGCGAAGGCGGGTTTGGACCGGTTCATAAAGGTTTCGTCGACGACAAGATTAGACCCGGTTTGAAGGCTCAGCCTGTGGCTGTCAAGCTCTTGGACCTGGACGGTTCTCAAGGCCATAAGGAGTGGTTGGTGAGTATAACATTTTTCTTTTTGTTTTTTTTTTTTGGCAATCCTTTTAGTTTATTGAATTGGGTACTTAAAAAATTTATGAATTTTGAAAGTTAGTTAAAATTTTTATTTTTATTTTTTTCAGACTGAAGTGATTTTTCTTGGGCAATTGAGGCATCCATACCTTGTGAAGCTTATTGGGTATTGTTGTGAAGAAGAGCATAGGCTTCTCGTGTATGAATACATGCCTAGAGGCAGCTTAGAAAATCAACTCTTTAGAAGTATGTTTCTCTCTCTTCACCGACTTTTTTTTTTTCTTTTTGGCTTGTATGAAAAACATTACCTTAAAGACCCCTCAAACATGCATTTAATTGCTTGATAACAAGACTAAGTCAAATTAATCTTGTTATTTGCAGTTTAATTGCTTGATAACAAGACTAAGTCAAATTAATCTTCTTTGATTAATCTTGTTATTTACAGGGTACTCTGTCTCACTTCCTTGGTCAGCGAGGATGAAAATCGCTCTAGGAGCTGCAAAGGGCCTTGCTTTTCTCCACGAGGCGGAAAAGCCGGTCATATACCGTGACTTTAAAGCTTCTAACATTTTGTTAGATTCTGTAAGTATCTTGTTCTTTGCTTTCTCTCTATGGATATTCTCATCAGAATCTTCTTGTTTTGTTTCGGTACTAAATTCTGGCGTTCTCTTTCCTTTTTGATCAGGATTATACGCCAAAACTGTCCGATTTCGGCCTTGCAAAAGACGGCCCTGAAGGCGATGAGACACACGTTTCCACACGAGTAATGGGGACACAAGGTTACGCTGCACCGGAATATGTCATGACAGGTACTAATTCACTCTCTTTTTATAACAAACTCTATTTCTAAAATTAATCACAGTTAGGCCTTTTCTTAACATGCTTGATATGTTTTGTTTAGGTCATTTGACTGCGATGAGCGATGTTTATAGCTTTGGAGTTGTACTTTTGGAGATGATAACCGGAAGAAGATCGGTTGACAAGAGCCGGCCCACGAGGGAACAGAACTTAGTCGAGTGGGCTAGACCGATGCTATGTGATCCAAGGAAACTTGGCCGGATAATGGACCCGAGACTCGAAGGCCAATACTCGGAAACAGGAGCGAGAAAAGCGGCTGCATTGGCCTACCAATGCCTCAGCCACCGTCCAAAGCAACGGCCGACGATGAGCACCGTTGTCGAGACCTTGGAACCACTTAAGGACTTCGACGATGTCGCGATCGCGCCTTTTGTCTACACGGTCCCGACAGAAATCGCGAATTCGAACAAGGAAGAAGCGAAGAAGGAGTGCTTAAGCGAGGTGAAGAAGGAGAATGGTCACCGCCACCACAGTCACTCGCCTCACAATGGCCATCACAACAAGCATCGTCGGATGAGATCGCCGAGATCTCCGAATTTTCACTCGGAAAATGGGCCGAGACAGAATCAGAGAAATGGTTTGAACTCTCCGTTGCACCATGGAGGCAGAGGAGCTTAGAGTAGTAACCGAAAATGAAAGAATGTAGAGTGATCACGCGTCAGTTGACAGTGATCAAGACTGTAAATAGAAAGAAAATTTGTTAATTGTTATTGCAAGTTGTTGATTAAGTGTAAATCTGAACTTATTTTTCAGATTGTTGAAGTAACGAAGTAAGTCCTAATTCGAGTTGAGCAAAAAAGGTTAAATGTGACTGTTTCTGAGAGTTTTTTACTGTAGCAAAACTCGAATTCTAAATTCGAATCAGCGAAAAAAAAAGACAAAAGTGGAAATTTGAGTTTATTTATTTTATTTTATATATATTTCAACGCGAAGGGACTAATTCAAAAGTGGAAATTTCACCAACTTTTGGATATCTTGACTCGAGTGGTAGCAGATTTTCAAGAGTTTGTGTCGAACACAGCTAAGCAGTTTGAAAAATACAACGCGGAGAGTGCTAAATTATCATAATTAAAGTATCTTCCCGTATGATTTTCCTAATTAAAAACTTCGTTACTAATATTCTCTAATAGTTGCTATGTCTAAATGCTGGTGATAAGTGCTATATCATGAGAGAAACACTGTCTCCTGGGGTGCCATAACATCCCATGTCTCTTGGCTTATGCTTAGCTTATTGGAGATTACTCTCGTAAAAATTGACTATCAAAAAAGCTTTATTTTTCAACTGTGAAATTTATTGGAACGAGACCAACACCAGACTCAAAATTGTACCGAGATCACAGAAACAAATAGAAAATGAACACCAAGAGTTTACCGAGGTTCGGGATAAAAATTCCCTACGTCTTCGTTGAGCTCTCTCATGAAAAACTCGATACACTATCAAAGATTGAATAATACACCCTCAAACCTCACAGATTACAAGAATCACTCTCAAGAATACCACAAACCCAGAGATTACAATTATCCCAAAAAAATCTCCAGAGAAAATACCCAGAAGAAAGAACACTCAATTTCTCTCTTGATTTTCTCAATCACAATACAAGATTTTTCTCTCACTAGGAAATTTGATCTCTCTTGCGGTTTCTCTCTCTAAAGTCTAAGGATCTGTTCAGTTCGTTAATTCAAGTTGAGATGTAACTTTATATGAGAATTTTTTACTATAATAAAAAAATTAAATATAATTATTTCTAATAATTTTTTACTGTAACAAAATTTAAATTTTAAATTTAAATCGACGAAATAAACAAGCCAAGTTCTTCGAGACTTCTCTATATTCAATTAGCCCCAAATCGTAGACCCTTTTGTTCACACGCCTTGACCGACTGAAGAGGGAGTGGATTACGACCGATCACTTCCACGTGTCACACTCTTATGGTGCTTCTTCCAATAAAAGGCTCCACATCAAACGCAGCATTTCATCCAATAGAAAACAGTGCTGCTGAGGGTGATTAAGCGCATTGTCGTTTGTTGAGATTATTCCAACAAAATTTGTATCAGAAATTGTTTGCTGCATTCTTTTTTAATATGATGTGATTTTAAATAAATTCAACAATCAGAAATTAATCCTTACTCAAAAAAAGGCCCTATTTGTTTTGGTTGAAAAGATTCACTAAAGAGACGTTTAATTTATGGATTAGAATAATGAGATTAGAACTATTTTTAATTTACGTGTATTTTTTATGAGAAAAAATACTGTAACGAATCACGAATCATGATTCAAATCAGAGTACGAATCCCCTAATTAAACAACTCTTAAGTAATAGTAGTGAAACTAGTCTTAGAAAAAGTTTGTATCTGTTAAAAATTTATATTAAAACGGGGGAAGAAGTGAATTAATTAGTCCGAACGTGGAAAATGCGCTACAGACCTACAGCTCGTTATCGTTATTGCTATGTTTTTGAAATTACAATTAGACGTTGCTTCAGGAATTTTGCTAGTATTAGTTGATCAGTATATACTCTTGTTATTTTTTGAAAGTGACCGTGTAAATATTATATAATAGGAGAGATCGAAACGATAATCTTATCACCTGTTAGTTGTAACTTTCAATTTTCGTTAAAGATACTCATCTTATCTTACTAAAGAAAAAACGTAAATTATCGTTATATCTTTTTTTTTTTTTGGTTAAAAATGTTCATATCGGGTGTGTAAATGATACTTTTATTAAACTGTAAATAAAAGAAAAGAAAAGTAATAAAAACTTGGTCTTTTTTATCAGTTTGATATTGGAACAGAAAACAATTCAATTCTCTTTATAATGTTTATTAAACCTAAGAACACAAATTTTATCAATATAATTACTTAAGGGCTCGTTTAGTTCACTGATTCGAGTTGAGATATAACTTTATGTGAGAACTTTTTACTGTAGTAAAAAAGTTAGATGTGATTGTTTCTGAGAGTTTTTTACTATAGTAAAACTTGAATTTTAAACTCGAATCGGTGAAATAAACGAGGCCTAATATTATCCTTTTGTGTCATTAAAATAATCATTAGTGATAAACATTGAACTTTGCTTGATACGAGTAAATTTGACGTTTATTTTCTTTAACAGTTAATCGATATTGCAAGAATTATTCATTGCCTATATTATATATATGAGGTATATACTACATTTTCATTACTAATTATAATTATATAAGTAAACACTTTATTAAAAGGCAAGTAATGCCTCCTAATGTAGAAGGACGCTTTTATATATATATATATATATATATATATACCATTAAAATCACCCATATGTATATATATGCCATTTTTTAGAAAAGAATTTTCTTGTTGATTTTGACGTCAGAGGTTGAGATACATCATGCATTTAATTGATGATTTTAGGGATCGTTCTTTTGTAACAAAATTTAAAAAAAATTTAAATTCAAGTTACAACTTTATTTAAGTTTACATTCTTTTAAGTTTTAATTTTATTCAACTTTACTCAACTTTATTCAAGTTACAACTTTAACTCAAATTATAACTCAAAAATTATATTCAAATTACACTCTAAAAGAACAATTCCTTAATATCCTTGATTTATTTAATTTAATATTAATAATATTATTGTTTTTTTTTATTGGTGTTTTTTGTTTTCTTCTAGTAGCTGAGATTCTCTGAGAGACGTGTATGATAGTAACCTCTCCAGAAGCAGCGGTGATTAGCAGAACTTAGTTTGGAAGCTTGTGCCACATTTCAAAGTCGTCGTTTCATGTGGATTCTTCTGCTCTCTATTTCAGTGGCAGTTTCTCATTTAAATTCTTAACGTTTTGTACTTTCAAACAAAAAATCAACTTTAATTCTAGAAATATCACTGTTATTCTCCATAAGCGAGTAAGAAATATCACTGTTATTCTCCATTGCTGATGTTGTTATTCACTTAGTTTTCATTTGTCGTCATTGACTTGTTTTGTGGACAATGTCAATTTTTTTAAATTTTTTAAAAAAATTAAGAGGATGTCACTGTTGGTTTCTCAAACCGGATTTTTAAAAAAATTGTGCAGAAACGTGGTATCGATTGAATCACATAAATTAAAATTTAATGCGATCATTATTTCATGTTAATTTAATTACAAAGATATTAAATAAAGGAATGAAGATTTGACCGTCGTTCGATTAGGACGAAAATCTTGAACTCCTCCAACACCGTCTTGAGCTCTTAAATTCTAAGAACACCACGGTTCTTTCTCAATGTATCTCCGGATTAACGTGAACTCGAACGTGTGGGCGTTCTAATGGGTTTCTCAACACATGAGATGGATGAATAGGGAAGCCACCTATAGTTATCACTCACTTTTCTCAAAAGTATATGATGGCACTCAAGAAATTTTCTTTAGTTTTCTTTTGTTCTCCCGTTCTTTCATTTTTCTTTCTTTCTATTCTCTGAAAAAAAAAACTTTTTCGTTTCACTTCTTAAAAACAGAACTCATTCCGTTTTTGAGTAAATGTGCAACTGCACATTTACTCTATTTTCTCATGGTGAGGAAACGTGCAACATCACGTTTCCTCCCACTCCTTTTTCTTTTTTTTGAGGAAACGTGCACATGCACGTTTCTTTTCTTTTATATATATATATATATATATTAACGAGGGGAGGGCGAAGGAAACGTGGAGAAAAAAATTCTCTCTAAATTCATCCATATTAATTTAAAATAATTTAAAATTAATTTTAATATTAATTAATCAAATTAATTAATATATGTGTATTTAGAATTCTCAATTCTATATTAATAATCATAACCCAATGTGATATATTCAGTTCACATTAATTTTATGGAGCCATTGAGAGAAACTATGGACATTATAATTTTAAGCTCCAATAATTTTGACAATTAATTAACACCTTAATTAATATGTCAAAATTATTAATTCCAAATTACTCCACTATAAATTTGGAATTGCACTATCAAAATAATAAAACAATTATGTTCACAAAATTTATCTTGTCCATTGATATAGTCACTACATACGAATTAATCCTCCATAAACGGTTCATAATTAAAGCTAGGTATTTTCCGTTAACCTCTTTAATTATATATTTCTCCATAAGTACCATTGATCCTCTAATGAATAATATGTTTTATGATCCAATCATAAAATTGAGCGCTCTTATTATTCAAGTCCTGAATCAATACTTATGGGAACCGTCCATCTACTTCATTATGAAGGAATGGATTTCATCTTGTAAATTAATATTCCCGGCTATTTATTTTACTATGCTCCCAATATACCAAGACTTTGACACTATTCACATGTGTCATTACTCAATATGTCAAAGAACATAATATCATAAATAGGAGTTTATTAATTACTCAGAATTAAGATTAATACATATATGACCATCATTGATTAACATTGAATACTCTATTTAATAACGGAATTTATTAGAGATTCATAATTAATCGTGTTCCGGTCCTATGTAATCATATTACATAAAATGCTTTCATTCTAATAATCTCATTATTAACAATCTAGGATAAGATTGTTTCATTCAGAATGTAATGAACCGCATTAGACTTTAATTTATAATTACGGACAAGTTTAGATTATTTTATTTCAAACATTATCCTTTGTATATAACAATTATATACAATGTTTAAAGCCACATCAAAAAATAATCTAGGGATTTTGATATTTATAAAACATCACATGTATGCAAAATAATATTGAAAAAATTCCTCATTTCATTGATAATCAGCAAAATATTTACATCTTATTTGATTTATGGGCATATATCCCAACAATCTCCCACTTGCC